TGCCACTCCGAGGATGGTCTCTGACTGCATTCGTCTGTTGCCAATGTTGCCATAAACACCAAATGGTGTTTCTGTGGACGTTAAATTGTCTTGCAACATCACGTTGACTCGATCCTGCTTCAAGCATACCAATGGCTCGCAGACAGGCGTGGCATTTCGTAATGTTGAATAATTGCGTAATTTTGTTGTTTTTCTGAGTGGTTGTTGTCAGCACGATGCTTAACAATGCATATGGAATCCCGTTAACGCACATGGTTTTATACTCATTCTTGGGTAGTGAAATGCATGGGGCTTGCATAAAAGTAAACTTTTGCATGGAATGCATGCTTTTCTGTAGCAGTAACTGTTGCGTTTTTTGTGACTTGATTCCATACATGTACTACAATATTGAAAACCAAACTTTACTTGTTTGGAAAATACACTAAAATATTGGTGTCACAGGGACTTTTGTTGTTGAGTTTATATTGAGACCAAGATAAGTCAGAACAACGGTTCCGTGATGTAGGTAGCCGAACAATAGAGCTGTGTTGGGGCACTGGTTTCTAGATGTACCTAGCCGAATCTATGGAGCTGTGTAGAGGCCATAGCCAGGTCAGTGCACTGGTTTCTAGATGTACCTAGCCAAATCTATGGAGCTGTGTTGAGGCCATAGCCAGGTCAGTGCACTGGTTTCTAGATGTACCTAGCCGAATCTATGGAGTTGTGTTGAGGCCATAGCCAGGTCAGTGCACTGGTTCCTAGATGTACCTAGCCGAAACTATGACACTGTTTTGAGAGCAAAGCCAGGTCAGCACACCGATGTACCCAGCACTACTATGGACCTGTGTTGAGGCCAAATCCAGTCATTCTACTACCACGAGGTTTAGATTAACAATCATTGAATTCTAATTGTCGCTGGGTGGCAGGGAACCATTACCACTCCGACTGTAAGGCTTCCAATATGTTTACAATGTATTTGCTCATGTCGTGTTCGCATATTTGATTTTTTACTCGTGTCCTATAAAGGCTGTGTTTTAGTAGTTGGTTTACGGACATTTTATCATAATCTTTGGTCGAATTTGCCACTTACCGTAGTCAGACAGGGTAACAAAATGCAAAAGCGTGATTATCAGACTCGGCTTAATAAAAGATGTTTCAAACTGGAAGATGTTTTTTTTAATATTACCCTTTTTCTTACGGTTTGCAGATGCGTAAAAACACAACCAATAACAAATTAAACGGCTAACGGAATCAAAGGCTTTACGAGTACATGGCCGCTGATTGTCTATTTTCGACCATATATCTGTGTAGTTGCTCTCTGGGGAGTGCGGGTCAGTTACGTTTTGTATGTCCCTGGAGCCGAATAAATTGGTGATCGGTTAGTCAGATTGACTTGCCTCATTGCTTGGCATCGTACCCCGTTTGTGTGAATCCAGGTCCAGATTATTGTCACACCGCCCTGATACAGTTGTAGTGTTGCTGCATGAAATGACATTGCCCTCACTTCACTCACTGTGTTCCAAAGGCAAGACAGATGTAACTGTCATTACGGCTTCGCTAAGGTATTGAGAGGGGAGTATACCAAAACGTTCAGGGTGTTCAATTAAAAAACAGGACGGTGGTGAATCCTAGTGGTCAAAGCGTTCGCTCGTCACGCCGAAGACCCGTGTTCTATTCCCCACATGGGTCAATGAGTGAATGTCCCCCGCCGTGATATTGCTGGAATATTGCTAAAGGCGGCGTAAAACCATGCTCACTTCCTCAATAAACAAACAACACTATAATGGATTAGTTCAGTATTGAATGTAGAAAAGATACTGTTCTAAACAAAATGTTCAACGATATACATAAGGGAAATGAAGGTATTGAAATCAATTCGTACCCGTGAAGATCCAGGGTAAAATTAGGTCAACCTAATGCTTGCCGTAAAAGGTGACTATGCTTGTCGTAAGAGGCGACTATGTTTGTCGTAAGAGGCGACATAGGTGACCGGCTCGCTGACTTGGTTGAGGCATGTCATCGTATCCTAATTGATGCTCACGATGTCAATCACTGGATTGTCTGGTTTACACACCGCTGCCTTACACCTGAAAGGTTTTTGAAGACATATACTACCCCGGAATCTTCACGGGTCTCGACGTATGTGACAGACCCGTGAAGATCCGGGGTAGAAAAGGTCGGCAGTAACCCAAGCTTGCCGTAAGAGGCGACTATGCTTGTCGCAAGAGGCGACTAACGGGATCGGGCGGTCAGGCTCGCTGACGTACGTCATCGATCCCAATTGTGTGGATCGCTGCTCATGATGTCAATCACTGGATTGTCTGGTCCAGACTCGATTATTTACAGACGGCCGTCAAATAGCCGGAATATTGCTGAGTGTGGCGTTAAAAAACAAACAAACAAACATGTGACACTGCTGTTGTGACCGAGGACAAGACATATTGAGGTGTCAAATTAATTCATTCCGACATATACATTATTGCAAATTCACAACAATAGTACTTAGATGCAGACTGGCGAGCTACGGTACTGGGTCCCGTTCCAAAAAGCAATGTTAGCGCTACTTTATGTTAAAGTATGGGAGTTACAATCATCTTAGCGCTGCGCTAAGATCGGTTTGTGAAACTTGTCCCATACTCTATAGTCTCTGGGCTGGCATTTTGGTAAACCTTCACCAACCCTTAACCAATCCATTCCCGTGATTCTCGCAATCTCAAATAACCCGTTCATGGATCTCATTAGAAAGTTGGATTTGGTACGCTACTCAATCTAACGGACCAATCAAAAAGCGAATTTCATACCAGCCTCGATGTTGCGTTGCGTAAATCAACAACATGGCAGCTAGTCACATAATTACGATGAAGTTTGCGAGAAATTCAACATTGACAAACTTACATGAAAATGAAAGCCCTAAAAAATAGTTTTGATGGAAAGGATGTCTTCATGTCCACTTCCCGTACCCATTTCCTCTTTCCTTATCTCGACGTTTGATTTACAAATGAGAGTGAGTTTATTTCAGTGAAGAGGCCGCCCGCCAATTATACAATATGGACACAGTGGATTACAGCAATAGCAGGCGCCAGATAATATAAGTGATATACATAGTGAAACAATTAAATTATTGCATACATTTGAAAAAACTGTTGTCGTTTCTTAAAAGAAAGAAAAATATATTTTGCGCCTTCTTCAAGCATTAGGTTATGGCTAGAACAACGGAAAGAACTAAGAGCAAATTGATATACTCTAACAGGTATTGATGTTAAATATCTTTCTAATACAATGCATGGTTTAATTTTTTAATTAATATATATTGTTAGTTTGGAAAATGTTTTTAATTTACTTAACCAAGTTTGCTGGTCTATATCTATACATCTTGGCTTAAGACAAACAATAAACTTATTTACATTTGGAACATCGTGATTACACCAGTCAGAACCAAAACAATATGATGATAATAATTGTTTTTACATGAAGAGCCCAACATTCAATACCTTTATCCGCCAAGGATATATACTTGATAATCGTAAACATGTTTCAAAATAGGATTATCAGTTTGAAATATCAATATTTAATCTAGTCCAATATTTAATAATTTTCATATATTGGTTTACTTTTAGTGAATAACGACCTATCCCCCCATTGCAACAATATTAGGGGTACTCCGTCTTAAATGTAAAAGCTGTTTACAGAAATTATCATGGAATGTATCAATATCAGGTGAAGGATGAAACCCCCAGACTTCACTGCCATACAAGAAGATTGGTAGAAGCTTGACATCAAATAGATGAGTCAAAACATGTAAAGGTAACTTATGAAAATCAATAATGTTTGTTTTTAGTGACTGCAAAACTGAAGTGTTAAAGTATTCTGTGTATTAAACCATGAACCAGAGCTTGAAAAATGTACACCTAAATAATTATACACTGAAACAATTTCAAGCGGACATGTATTCAGAGAAAATATTGCATATTTCTTTAATAGACCACCTTTGCGAAAGACAATTATTTATTTGCAGCTGCCATTTATCACAAAATTGGGAAAGTTTATCAAATCTCTTTTGAAGCCCAATAACTGTACTATCTATTACTACGATGTCATCTGTAAAAAGCAGCATAAATAACTCAGTCTGTAGAGTACCTATACTAATACACCATTGCTTATCTTGTTGCAAAAAATCTACAATGTCATTAATAAAGGATGTCTTCATGTCCACTTCCGGTACCCATTTCCTCTTTCCTAATCTCGACGTTGGATTGGTCGGTACCATGTTAATGACAAGGGCGGGTAATTTAAGATAGCGAGAACCACGTGAATGGATCCAAGGGTTAAAGTAGGTTAACCGAAATGCGAGCCCCGGAGACTAGAGGATGATAATCGGAACTGTATGAAACGACATATGGCTGTACATTGTGGGAGATGACACATAGTTGTCGACAATATGTACAAATTCGATGGCGTAAATACGATTGCTATAAGATAAAATAGCATTGGTTAAATATGAATATTTAAAAGTACACATCGCTTAAACACACTGAAACTTCTGAACAACAGACACATTAAATAGCAAAATGGAACAGTATATGTACCCCGTTGTTTGTACATTCACTTTGCTCCCAACCATAATTCATTTAGGCATGTGACCCAGTTAAAATCCGGGTTAGAATTGATCTTCTGCAACCAATGCTGAGATAAGCGGAATCGGGTGGTCAGGTTCCCTGACTTGGTTGATGCATGTCATCGTATCCAAATTGCGTAGATCGCTGATCCGAGGAGATCTGGGGAGAAAATAGGTCTTCAGCAGCCAAGGCTTGCCGTAAGAGGCGACTATGTTTGCCGTAAGAGGCGACCATGTTTGTCCTAAGAGGCGACTAACGGGATCGGGTGGTCAGACTAGCTGACTTGGTTGGTGCATATCATCGTATCCCAATTGCGTAGATTGATGCTCATGATGTCAGTCACTGGATTGTCTGAACAGACCGCCGTCTCATAGCTGGAATATTGCTGAGTGCAAACAAACACAAGATCGTTGCTCACAATGTCACTCGTAGGATTAATTGGTCCAGACTCGATTATTTACATACAGCCATCAGAAAGTTGGAATATTGCTGAGTGCGGCGTTTAACAATAAACAATAGTTTTGCACTTGAGGACAAGGGCAGCCTAGTGACCAAAAGCGCCTCAATTCGCTGTACAGCGTTGCGTGCCAGGATCCGATGACCGCGACTACTTACAGTTTAATATATCTTCCAGTATTTCCTGAAAAACATTTTTTCTTGTCCTAAGTCCAAGCTATCTTGATAGACAAGCAGTGCGTGTATAAGTGAGTGAGTGAGTTGGGTTTAACGCCACTTTTAACAGTATTCCAGTTATATCGCGGCGTGTCAGCTTAATGTGGGAGAAGCCCGAAGTGATGCAGGTCTCAGACATTTACCACTTCGGTACCCACGAGCACGGGTATGGTGCTGACAAACCTAGAAACATAATCGGGCGAACCGGGATTCGAACCCACAATCATAGGTTAGTGTGTGTATAAAGACAATGCTGAGTGGCTGTTAATGTAAAGGCTCACTATTTCAGTAATTCATTGTCGACTTAGCTCTAAACCATAAAGGTATGATGAGGGGTGTATATTTAAAAATGATGTCTGTCAATGCAAGACCTTGCCATGCCAAAGGGTGATCTTTGTCAGATTCCTTTCGGACAGTATAGCATGTTCGGAATCACAGCAGAACAGTCATTGCCTCATATAACTACCTTATGTAAAGTCTGTATGGTCAATCATGATCTTACATTTGTTGTTGCTAATATATCTACAGTCTTAGGTCGTTGTCAGTGTAAACGCTGACGTAGCTGTTTCTGTTTACGTTGGGTTGTTTGGAGCAGCAGCACAAAACACGATGTAGGCTTTGTCTGATGGCCTTGCTGAGCATCCATACATAAGGAAGCACCACAAACGTGGAGAAACTTAGCCTGGAGGACACCGCCCAGAATGTGTACATTGATGCACAAGCGTCGCCTTCCTCCTTGGAGCAGTAGTTGAAGGCCGTGGAGAACACAGAGAATGGGAGGTTGAGAGTAATAACAATAAGACAAGCCACAAGGATATCGATCGGGAACTCGTTAGGTCGTTGTGTAAGCGAATCCCGGCCACGTTTGATTAGTGTGCAGAGTAAGAGCAGCATGCCTAGGAAGAATACGATGACTGCCTGGGGTAGGTAGTGGAGGAGGCCGAGCATGGTGCGGTACTTCTCCTTCAGGTCGAAGTCACAGGAAGTCGGCTGGATCTTTCCGTACACCACGAGGGGCACGATGAGGATGGCACTCCCGAACCAGCTGCACAGGATCAACTCGGTGGCAACACACACTCGGATCTTCTTGCCCGTCGTGTGCGGGAGGAGCATGTCTAGGTATGCGTCAATACACAAAGCAGTTACCAACATTAATACCACTGACACGTTAAAGTAACCGATAGCTTCTAATACGATTGAGAAGCAGTTATCTGGCCCCACTATGTAATGGTTTGTAATAGAGCTGTATGTGTTGGTCGTTCCGAGCACCCCGATCTGGATCAGGCAAACGATGCAGATATTCACTATGATAAAGTGTTTGGAGGATCGACGTAGTTTGGGCTCCAGCAGGATGCCGGCGATTACTACAAAGTTTGTCACGAGGCCAGATATACAGAAGATGAGCTCGAATGAAGCCAGTGCTTTCCTGTTGATGTAGTGGAACATGCTTACAGGTGTGTCGTCCTCGCCACCAAAGTGCTGAAACAAAACACAGTTTATTTTATGTCACGATCTGATTTGGTTGCCAAGCCAAGACTCCATTCTTTACACGTTGCTGTGATATTGCTAACAGCAGCGTTAAACAACTAAAGAAACAAATAGCATGAATACCACATGTACAGAAGCTCACCTTTATACAGTGAGGTGAGGTGAAATGGGGTTTAACGTCGCGTCCAAGATTATTGTACTTATATAGCGACGTGCATGTACGTGTGTGTGTTTGTGTGGGTGCTTGTACTAGTCCGGACTGATGCCGATTTATAGTGCTAGCACACTGAGATACCATGCCGCAGTTTAACATGGATACCCCACTCAGACACAGTATACTGACTCCGAGCCGACCAGTCCTTGTTTTAGCCCCTTAATGCCGAGCGCCAGACAGGGTAACAACAAGTACTATATTTTAACGTCTTTTGGTATGACGCGGCCGGGGATCGAACCCCGGACCTTCCGCTCTCCGGGCGGACGCTCTACCACTAGACCACGGAGGCGGTCCTTTAAACAGTGATATAAACAGGTGATGATGTGAATTCAGAGGAATTTACGACCGATGACAAGCCGCTAGTCAACATGAAGGCGATGTTGTCCTAGCTATTCACTTTCCACGTAGTATTCACACCATTCACTATATCAGGGGCAATTCAAGTTGTATAGGACCTTATCACGTTTATTTACCATAATGCTTCTCTGAAAGATCAAAGGAAGAAAGTACGCTTTTTCAGTTACGTCAAAATACCCGTGAAGAGCCGGGTTATAATTGGTCTTCCGCAACTCGTGCTTGTTGCTTGTCCTAAGAGTGCGACTAACGGGATCGGGTGGTCAGGCTCGCTGACTTAGGTGATGCATGTCATCGTATCCCAATTGCGTGTCTCGATGCTCATGATGTCAATCACCGGATTGTCTTGTCCAGACTCGATTATTTACAGACCGCCGTCAAATAGCTGGAATATTGCTGAGGGCGGCGTTAATTAACAGACAAACAAACAAGTTACGTCATAAAGGGCTGACGTATTGATACCGTTCAAATTATCCCCCTCCAGGTGATCTTACGTATCCTTGGTAACCCTGTTCATGTCTTGTCATTCCTGTCAATCATGATGGCGCATCTACATAATTTGTTGGATCGGTGAAATAGTTTCTAACAATGAGTTAACCTCATGGCGTTGACAACCATATGAAGGAAAAACAGCCACGGATATATCAAACAAAATGTGATAGTAACAATTGCCCCGTTAAAATATTCAGAATAGTACCCGTTGAGTTATCTTTTCAGTTACAGTTACAGCTACACAATCAGATATTTGTTTTGTAGCAGGCAATTTCTCTTTCTTTTCACCAGTCTGAAGCATAATTATTATTTTCAAGAACTTTAGGGTGTTCCTGAGGACGTTAAGTTGACGTGCGACGTCACGCTGCGAGATACTGGATTCAATCAATCATATGGCTCGCCATCTGTCATTTTCACTAGTTGTCGCGTGGTGAAATCTCATTGAAACGATCAAAAGTGTTTTCTGAACTCTGCACTTCCGCAGATTACACAGAGTGGCAGTGATATAGGATCAGATATTTGGCATTTTATGGAGAATATTTGAAGCAACTGCTGGACATTCGCTATTTTTGGAAAACAACAACAACCATGCAACACGAGAAAGAAGTGCTTGATTGTGTTTCTTCTTGTTTTTATTAACATTTTCCCTGGTCCAACATGTCATATGAAGGTTTGTAAATAAAATATAACTTTTATTTGTTTGTCTGATTATTTTTTAACGCCGCACTCAGCAATATTCCAGCCATATGACGGCGGTCTCTAAATAATCGAGTCTGGACAAGACAATCCAGTGATTGACATCATGAGCACTGGTCCACGCAATTGGGATACGATGACATGCATCAACCAAGTCAGCGAGCCTGACCACCCGATCCCGTTAGTCGCCTCTTAGGACAAACATAGTCGCCTTTTACGGCACGCATGGGTTGCTGAAGAAGTATTCTGACACGGATCTTCACGGGTATTTTGACGTAACGTACTTTTTATATGAAATAATCTAGGTTGGACCAGACATTCCATGATTAGCATCACGAACATCGATCTCCGCTATTGGGATACGATGACACGATGATGACCGCGTGCATGGGTTGCTGAAGACTCGTTCTAGCCAGGAGCTTCTCGGGGTAATTAAATTATACAAAAAAAATAACTGTAATGAAAATGAGAGGCAGAGTTCAATAACGCGTTTCTAAACTTATACAACATATTCATTTCGATACTACTGTACAACCAAACAAGAGAGAGGGGTCGGAGAATATGTATCACCATTAAACATGAGAGTGACCCTTTTGCAGTGAAAATATACTTTATCACAAGTTATACTTGTCTCGATCAATGTTGTTATATGCTTCAATGTATTTAACGTCTAAATGTAATGATGTTCAGCTGTAGAAATAGCCAAATTAATGAGCGTAATCATTTACATGTATGCTGATCAAACGTACAAAGGTGTTTTCCGATAATCTTAAAATGTTAGCTAAGAGGAATATACAGTATGGAGGTAATTTAATGGTGGTAAAAATACCAATTCTAACCACATTACAGAGAAACAACGTATCTTATCATTGTCAAATATTATACCAATTATGTAAGATAAATTCGAGCTGTTTCTGCGTGAACATACTTTTCAAATTGAGTGCTCGAATCGAAACACTTTCATATCAGGTTTTACATACGAATAAAATTAAATTTAAAATTAAAAAATAACTTTAAAGACTTGCGGGAAATGGTATACAAAAATTGCAAAATTATTTGATGGATTCAAACTGGTGACAAAGATATTCATAACCTGAAGAGTATGTGATGCGTAAGAAAGTCTAACAAATTGCAATATAAAGCAGTTGTTAGCGAACTGATGTACTGAAATTAGATCAGTCGTAATTTTCAAACATACCTGCAGCCGCTTGTTAACATTCAGCGTGTCATCAAAAGAGAATTCAAGATAATAATCAGCATTGAATATATTCCGAAACAGATTTCAATAGGGCGTAATGGATCACTGAAATTCAGTGATGACACCAGGTGTTCGCGAAAAGGGTAGAAATACAATTTCTGAAATAAGTTAACCAGGCCTTATGTGGTGAGTCATTGACTGGAATGCTTAGTTGTTCTCAAAAGTCTTTCCGTGAAATTAGATAATTTATACATGCTGAAACGTACCAAAGCAACTGAGAAATATAGACGCCATAAGCTCGAGCTGGTATGTGGTATATTTTTCTTAACAATAGGAATGAAATTGGCAGAATAAGTTTAGGAACATACAAACACGCCAGATGATTGACAAATATCGAGTGCAAAATGTCTTCAACCACCGACAAGTGGTTTCGTCGAGTCAAGATGTTGTGGCAGTGCCGCTGCGGCGATGCTGACCTTGAGCCATAGCTTTGACCTTTACGTACATCACTTCAGGCTTGCCTTCCACATTAAGCTGACACGCCGAGATATAACTGGAATACTGTCAAAGAGGCGTTAAACCCAAATCACTCACTGACTCTTACATAATTGCCTATGATAATTGCCCTCTTAAATATGATAACCTTGTCCTTGAACTAAAGCCAATGCGACTGGAAAGTGAAGACCATCTTAAAAAGATCTAGTTAATAGAATTGGAAGGTTTATCTTATAAGCAAAGTTAACCAATGATATGGCCGAATGATCATCTATACATTGTACAAGGCTTGTTAAAAGTACAGTGGGCATGTGGTAGACAAATGTTGATATTCAACCTTTTTAAACAATTTTATATTGTTCACAATTCAAACCTCACTTATCATAAGGTTGGAGCTATGAATGTCCTGAAGAACATTCATGAGCTGTTAAAGCTGTCTTATTGTAGCCATGCATGAGGGACATGTTATGTGAAAATGACATTGGCATGTTTTGTAGTTTAGCAGAAAGACGGATACAGCATAGCATAAGCTCATTGGCATATAAAACCACACACAAATAACACAACAATCAATCACAACAACAGCAATATGCTATGAGTTAGGTCTAGGAACAATGCACTAGTCAATATCAGTATAATACTACCATTATGTATAACATTAATAGGAACGCTATTAGGCGAAGTAATTGATTCTTACAGTAAAACCATGAGATATTCTGTTACATGATGATGAGACAACCACGACTGAAGGAGAGGAACACGTGATATATTTACAGCCCACGTTGAATTAGCGACATAATAGTAGCATCTGGGAGGACGTTAATCGTTTTCTGTCCGAGTTTTTGTCTAAAGTTGCCGAACGCCATGGTAACAGGGTTTTTGTTTCATTATAATGACCATATGGCATCCAATCTCGAACGAGTAGCATTCAGTTGTGTGTTGTCTCTAAGTAAATTGAACAACCTACTCGGAGACGCCATTCAAACACTTGAGAGAGAGAGAGAGAACTCCTGTATTCCCAGCACATCACCTCTGATTCGTTTCTTGATGTAAAACACATATATCCCTATAAAATCACTAACGATTGCCACGTATCGATTACCACACCAAGATACACACACTAACACGCCCGCGTAACACGACTTTGAACATTGAAACCATCCCATTACAGTGACAATTGGAACCACACGCACCACCGTACACTGACAGTTTTGGAAATGATCATCTAAAATCTAGGTATCATTCGTCTGAGAAGTTAAATCACAATGCTTTCCAGACCATAGTGACGTCATCGTTATTACGTCACAACCAATTGACATCACTAACCTATCTGCCACTTAAGTCGTAGTTGTAGATTTTACTCATGACCATGAAGAAAGTGGTTATAACTGCCTACACACTGAAAGAGTAGGGAAAAAGCTTTTGGATGATACATGTAAATAATAAATATATATATATATATATATATATATCAATACTCGTCGAGAAAAGATCAAAACTCCTCGGCATTACGCGAAGCTTTACACTTTGGACGACGTGTGT